TATATATATATATATATATATATATAATATTTACACATTTTTAATGGTAAACACAAAAATATACAATATATGTCTATACAAAATACAGTGTATTTTATATACAATATACATTTAGTTTAACTATGTGTGTGTTTGTATATGTATATATGTGTATGTATATACTGTGTATATATATATGTATATTAGGGGTTGAACGACTTCTGCTTTTTCAAAGTCGACTTTTATGTGATGAAAGTCGAGTCGAAGTCGACTAGTCGCTGATGACGTCATTAATGAACAAATAAGTCTGGAGCTGTGACAAATACCTTGTGCACAGCTTTGGCATATGACACAGTGCTGCCCACATTGCTATTGCTCCTATAACAGCTTTTTTTATTAGTTCTTTTGTATTTGGGTCATTATATTTCTCACAGATTTCTGCTCATTCTAAATCAGATACAGATAAAGTAGCACAGTAAAGATTACATTAATATGAATGCATTAGTGAGAGCGATTGCGTGTGTGAATTAATTCTACCTGGCAGCGTCTCTCTACTAGTAGTAAAGCTGTGGGATTTAGTTATTAAAAAATATATGCTAGAACTTTTCAGTTTCTAAGCTATTTCATTGAGAAATCACAGAACAGTGTTGACAATACATTTCCACGCAGAATGATTCTGTGCGGGTCATGTACGCGCTACTGTCTGTAGCCTATGTATTATTGAATTGTTGTAAATAAATATCACATTTGGAACTGGTCAGTGTTCAAAAAATGCTGGAAAATCTCTTCATGTAGCCCTACAAGAGTGATTACTGATAAACTGTCTGAAAAAAAGAAAGTCACGTTTTAGAGAAAAAAATCACCCACTGACTTCCAGACACCAAAGCTGCTACATACAGTAGTAAAGACTTTCTACTTCGAGGACCTTGATAGAAATGTAGTGGAGTGAAAAGTACAATATTTGGCTTTCAAATGTAGTGAAGTTAAAGTCATAAGTTCCCACAAAAAAAAATAATGGGGGGGGTTGCCCCCCATATCCTCAGTCAAGTAATCTCCGATGTCAGCCCAGGCCCAGTTGTACGGGGTACTAGACGGTCTTTAATACCCCCAAACGAAAGCAAAAGCAATTAAAATATCTGGCAAACTATCTAACGTGTTTTTGCAGCATTAAGCAATGTAGCCAAACAAAGACATATCTGTTGATTTCTTCAACGCAATGGCCAATCAGAAACGTTACAGTTTCAGAATTCACTCACCGCTGAAACAGCCGGAGTTTTGCACGCTCGCGAATCATCTCATGACTAAGTGCAGACGCGATGTAAATAAGAGATTTATTGTGTAGTTTAGAGAGCTTGATTATAACGGAAATTTGTGAGATCGCGATGAACTTTGATGAGTGATTCTTTTAGTGATAATAAAGGGAACAGCGCTTTGTGTGTTTTCTAGGCTATAATCCATTCAGAATTTGAATGAAACTTTCGTTTTTCGGACACATACATGCTGCAAAGTTTCGGGAATGATGCTGGATTCATTCTCGAAATGTCCGCAATAAAGAATGGACAGGACAAAAATCCCTAGGTGATTTATTCTGGAAGTGGTCCTGGCCAAACTTCCACAGACAGCGCGCGTCCTGAGCGAGATCCAGTTCACGGACTAAAAGCGTGTGTAAACTTATTGAGATCGGGACATATCAACCAGTAATTTCATTTCAAGTAACGGACGGTAGAAAGTTCAGAAATGAATGGTATGCGATTTATGACAAAATAGTCGCACAACTGATCGTTTATTTTTTCCTCACGTGTCTCATCACAATGATTCAAAACAGACACATTTCAAGTGACACGGGAAAAAGACACGGAAAACTTAAATGACATCAGAAAAGCAGCACGCGCATTTCTGGTTAAATGAAAGGCCATCAATTACTGACACTTAAAACGGGAAGCATCGCCATTCAAATCAGCAGCAAGAGTCAAAGTTCCACAGTTTAGTAAATGCAGGCAACCTCTATAAGTTATTCTTCACTGCGCTGTATTAACACAATGCGTTGCAATATGGTAGTGCATTGTTTTGATGCATAGGCTACATCCCTAAGATTTCTTTTTTCTTTTTTGTTTTTTTTCTTGCCCCCCCTGACTCGAGAGTCAAATGTCGTCCATGTTTAGAGCCATCAGTGAACATTAATCTTGACACGTGTGTCTGCCATCGACTGTTTAATGGGGCTCTATGGGTCATGCACAGAATCCGGTGCACAGATTCACACACAGTAAAGTTTGTCTGAGCTTGTAAAAGACTCTGTTAGACTTCAACAATAAGAACAAAAGAGCATCAATTATTTCAATAAATGTGACTCATCAAACTCTAGCACTGCACACTGGAGACTTACACAATAAAGACAAAGCCTTTTCTGATGATTTTTTTGAGAAACTTCTAAAAGTTGTTTCAAATGAACCACATTTGGTGAAGCACAGTCCCGCAACTACCAGCCCTAGTAAAACATGTTCACAATTGACCATAAAACACCTGAGAAGCAGCTGCATGCTGAAACATGACTTCTAATAGGAGCAATTTGTCTCCAACTATACACAGAATGTCTCTTGAACAATGAACTGGCCTTTAAATCAGCTTTATAGTGCAGACAAAAGACTTAGATAAGCCAGATACGCTGCTTTTATGTGACAGTTCCTGAACAAACCAGAACACTGCAGCTTTAGTTCCAAGAACCGGTAATGAACGCTCACAACAGATGTTTAATAGTCTTCCCTGCTGTGGTGCTGGAAAACCTGAACACACTCACTGCATGCAATCAAAGCCCCAAAATGAGTCTACAAATGTCTACTGATTTGTTATTTATTTATTTTAATTTTTTTAAATGCATAGTGCAGTGTTCATAAAGAATTATTTTATTATTATTATTTTTCATTTTTTACACACATACTAAATACTGTATACATTAAAAATGTTATATTGATATTTGATAATGATAGCTAAACAAGTAGTAACATAATATTAATTACTAACCTAACATTTATTACTTTTTTATAGACCTTATGTAGCCCCTTTTCAGTGCTGCACTCTTTGTCTTTTGTCTGTATTTTCACAGCGTGAAGGTAACTTTGTATGAATTTACGAATGAACCGCTAGCTTTAACACCTTCTCGGTGACATTTGTTATGACATCTGCTTTGAACATTCCAATGCACATGATAATGTCTGTTAACTCTGATGAATAAGGTCAATACATACCACCATTCAAGGTTTGGGATTAGTAACATTTTTACGAAATTAATACTGTTATTCAGCAAGACTGCATTAAATTGATCAAATTTGACAGGAAGGAATATTAAGCAGCACAACCATGTTTAACATAAAAATAATAAATGTTTCTTGAGCATCAAATCAGCACATCAGACATTTCTGACAGATCATGTGACACTGAAGACTGGGGTAATGGCTGTTAAAAATTCAGCTTTTCTATCACAAATGGCAATAAATGGCAATAGCCTCGTGGTTAGTACGCTGACATACAGCGCAACTGCGCTCACGGCGACCCGAGTTCGATTCCTGTTTCAAGGTCCTTTGCCGATTCCACCCCCCTCTGTCTCCACCCAATGATTTCCTGTCAGCTCTCTACTGTCCGTTTCAAGGTCCTTTGCCGATTCCACCCCCATCTGTCTCCACCCAATGATTTCCTGTCAGCTCTCTACTGTCCTGTCCCAATAAAGGCAGAAAACGCCCATAAATATAACTTAATTAAATAAATATATATATAAAATAAATACTTTTACATTTTAATACTCTTCACTCTATTTCTGATAAAATCTTATAATTTATAGTTCTCTCTCTATATAAGCTTGGTGAAACAAATATAAAAAAAATATATCTAAAAATATAAAAATGCATATTTATATTTTTATATAATGCATGATGGAGCATATATTTAATATATTTTTTATATAAAAAATGTTCAAAAAAATGATATAATCAGGTGAACTATTTGACAGCAGATCCTTCGTAAGCTCTGTGGGTGTCATAAAGGACTCAGACATTAATTTAAGCAAGCTGAGAGGTCGCTAAAACAGCTCACTTACCAATTATCAATTCAGGTTTAGATTCTAATATGATGGGAATTGGTGTGATGTCTGAGTGGCCTCCTTTCAAAATACATGTCTGAGCAACACATGGTTCCCAATGTATTCCTGCAAAATAATTTGTTCCCAAAAGGTAGCCAAGCATACCGCCAGAATAACGTTTTTCCAGTCAAATCCAATAACAAAAACAATAAGCTGCTTTAAATTTTCTGCGATGATTCCCCGGCTGAAGTGTGTATCTTTAAGACTCTGAGCTCCCCCGATCAACTTATCATCCCCAGACCCAAGAGTCATTACAGCTGCCTGCAGTCTCAACCACTACTGATGGTTCCTGTCCTATTCCACGTTCAACCAAAATTGGATTTTGATTGCTTTTCACAGGATATTTTTAATTAAAGGCGAATGAGAATAGCATGTGAGATTAAGCAATACTTCATGGTTTAATTCCCAGAGAGAGTTATCAGAGAGAGAGCAAAACCATTTAATGGCTTCCTTACAAATATTGCCAATTAAAACAAGTGACATTTTTCGATCAGAATGAATTACTATGACCCATAGGAAGAAAAGGACTCAGGCCAAAATGGAAGCGAGTAAAAAGTGACTGTGTCAGAGTGAATGTATTGACACATGCTGTATTTAATCTGCTATAAAAGCACTGAAAATATTCAATTTACCATGACATCATATCCTGCCTGGAGCTGTGAGCCTCACAGATCAACATAATGTGAACTAGTTAAATGCCGGTTGGACTGACAGATTGAAGGCCTTGCGTTAAAAGCCCGCTGGCTGGATTTGAGGGCCACTACTTGCATCTGTGCAGTGCAAAGAAATCTATTAGTGTAAGAGCAGCCATTTGTATGAAATGTAAGTGTGAACATTTACGGCGCTGGTGTGCGATATGTATTCATACGTCCTCGTGTGTGTGTGAATGTACCTCGGTAATGAAGGCCTTTGCTGTGGCGGGGCTCATGAACAGCACAGCACGCCTCAGTGTGTCCCTGTAGCGATGCAGCTCTTCCACCCTCATGGTGCGGAACATTCCAGTGATCATCATGTTAATATTGGATTCCACCTTCTGGAGAGACACATCCATCCCCTGCTGGGACGTCTGGTCCAGGAAGTTCTCTATGCCCCGGATATCTGAACAACAACAGACAATATAATTCAAACTACATTCAGTTTTTATGTGACTTGTCACAATCTGTTACACATATACTCTATATGTTTCTTAAAGGCACAGGACATTCTTTTTGTGATTGTCTTGGATTTATACACATGCTTAGAGGAAATGTTTATTTACTGAAGCAATTGTAGAAATGCAATATTAAGTTTATTTAATCTGCAGGTTACTGAAATAAAGCAAGTAGTGATCGGCTGGTCATGTGACCTCAACATGGCTGCTCCCATGAGGGGACCTGCTCCGTGTGAAATTAAACAACTTCTAGGCTACTGATTTTACTAAAGTTTTCATGTCATGTGAGTATACATGATTTTAAACATACACTGCAGTTCACAAGTTTGGAGTCAGTAAGATTTTTACTCTTATTCAGCCAGGACACACTAAATTAATCAACTGTTTTCAACATTAATAATAAGAAGAAGAAAGAAGAAAAATAAATGTTTTTCGAGCACCAAATCAGCATGATTTCCGAAGGATCATGTGACACTGAAGATTGGAGTAATTGCTGCTAAAAATATAGCTTTGCCATCACAGATATAAATTAATTTTTAAAATAATTAGTTATTTTAAATTGTAATTATATTTCACAAAATTACAGTTTTTACTAATGTATTTTTCAATCAAATAAATGAAGCCTTGGCGAGCATAAGGTACTTTGGTCACACTTTATTTTAAGGTCCAATTCTAATAACAAACCATTAACTATGACTTTTGCCTCAACAAACCCCTAATTTGCTGCTTATTAATAGTTAGTTAATAGTGAGAATTGGTCCCTATAATAATAATAATAATAATGTTTTATTTTTATAGCGCCTTTCAGGAACCCAAGGACGCTTCACAAAATAATACAAGCAATTAGCAAACAAAATACACCAGACAATCAGAGGGGACATTCAAACAAACAAGTGTTGACAACAAACATCTACAGATAATTAACAACAAGAGGTCATGCAATCAGATGATGAACATCAATTTTGTCAAGAAGGTGGTCCAATAACTACAAAGGTCATGTAACATACAAACAAAAGCTGGGAAACAGAGAAGCAGGGAGGTAAATTTATTTACAGAAGTTATTTACAGAATTTACAGCAGAGTTTTGTACCATTTGGAGGTGATTAATAACTTTGGCAGGTAAGCCGCTATATAAGGAGTAACAATAGTCCAGTCTGGAGGTTATAAAAGCATGGATAACACTATATTAAACAATACAATACTTCTTTAAAAAAAAAAAAAGAAAGTTTTACACAAGGATATGAACGTGAAAAAAACTAAATGTTTGGTGTCGGTAAGATATATATTTTTAATTACTTAGTGCACCTTTTAAATGCAAGAACCATAAATGCCTCATTTATTTAAAATAGTGATTTATTAAAATGTAAAATAAAAGAAAAAGTACAAATGAAAAAAAAGTGATTTATTATTTCTTTAGCATGAAAATTAGTGCAAATTAATGCACAACACAACCTTTGAAGCAAACAAACCTTGTTAGCAAATAGTCATGTAGATACTGTAAGAGTTATTTCTCCTGCAGCTCAACTGAACCTGAGCATAAATGCTGAAAGGACACAAGCAGTTACAGAGCATTCAATCACAGCGCTCATTCAAACAGACAGTGGTGTTTGCCAGAGGTCATGACAGAGAGATTAGAGAGAGTTATTTCACACTAAACAATGATCAAGCCAAATGTGACATTTATTAAAATGAGTTGTGTGGCACCTGTTGTACATTCATTTAAATTTGAAGTTGTTTAAAGATGGATCATGTTCCATAACTGCTGCCGTTATGATAAACAAATAAAAGTGGGATAATTTAAGTGCCTATTAAATGGCACATTCAATTATAATGACTACCCATTTTACCTTAAAAAAATCACAAAATCATTGTATTTATTGTAGGGATTTCTAGTACATGAACGGACACGGATATGCCTCTATCAGCCATCATGAGGCTTTAAGAAATATCAGAAAAGAAATCAAAATCAGCAACAGTACTACGTATCAGACTGAATATAAACTCCCTTACGCCTGGCAATATCAACCATTTTGTTTTCACCTTCACCATTACTGTGACGACCGTGTGGCACAGGAACGCATTAGCATGTGTGCTAACAGTGCTCAGGAGTGGGCGGCAGCAGAAACCTGTGTAGAACATTTATCACTGCGGTGTGGCGAGGCAGAAGTGCTGTCTCAGGGCTGTGCTACATAAAAGATGTATTTCACAGAGGAAGAGTTGCTGCACACTCATCCCTCTGCGCAGGCGGCCTTTCCCTACATCAAACCGTTTCCACCAGAGCGGGGAGGCGTTGAGAATGCAGGATCAAAGCGTCCCTGAAAGATGGGACTGGGGCGAGGGAACCAGGGGGAATTAAGGTGGGGGGTGTTGAAGGTGAGACTGACTGTGTGACAGAGATGTGAGCAAAAAAGAGACTTTCCGGAAAAGCATCGAATGAAAACATCTTTACTGTAGGTAGCCCTTCAGTCATGAGCCGCTAAAAGAAGACTTAATATCATGCCTATGTTTTAGATGCATAACTGAAGCAGAAAAACAACATGAAATGACTGGAAAATCCATCTTAAGCTAAAAGCATTAGCGAGCCCACCCTAGTCATTAGCCACATTAGATCATCTTGCATCCGCAAAAACAGATACCATATGGTCAGTATGGTTGTTATTTGGAACCTGGTAAGATCAATGACCAACTTGGATCAGCTAACGAGCTAGAAAACAACTAACCACACCTATTATTTCAAACTGGATTTTCCATAAGGGTACAGACTGCTATTTTCCAAAATACGTCTGTTAAAACATCACATATTTTCAGATTTAATTGTCAAGCTACAGAACTTGATATTTCCTTATTGCAAAATCGATATAAATATATTGCATTACATATCAAATTATACATATTGTAAAATATGCCGAGTTATAGTAGCATTGGCGAAGCTACAAACTAATCGTAATTTGAAATTCGTAAACAACAGTCAAGCAAATGTTTTGAAAATAATGTATTTATGTAAACTTATCGTGTTTGTGTTTTAAGTTTTAGTTTATTAACTATACATTCTTTAATGGAAAACTTGTGCATTTTAAATGTTTTACCTTAAAAAAATACTTAATAAATAATGTGTACTTTTTTTAAACTTAAAATAATGTTTATGTACACAACTTTTGAAACTATACATGCATTTATGTAAAGTTTAAAATGTTTATGCATTTTAAGTCTATTAACATTTATGAACAACTTTTACCGAACTATGCATGCATTTATGTAAAACTTGTGTTGTGCATTTTAAGCTAATTCATTTGAAATAATGATCATACAAAACTTAAACCAATCAAAATTTAAAGCAATAAAACTAGTCAAGCAAATGTTTTGAAAAAGTAGATAGCTACTAACAAACAGTAGCTATCCACATTGAAGTTAAACAGGAAATGTTTTAAAAATTAAACACACAATGTAAAAAATTAAAAACTGTCCTATATATAATTTAAATCAGAAACATTTGAATCAGGGGATTTTAATTAAATAATAATGCCAATTAAAATAAAACTTGAACAGATAAATGTATACAAAAAAACCCCACCTCATTTGCATAAGCAAAAACATACTACAAAGTATAGGGACTGTGATATTATTTCCTCAGGTCAGACATTAAAAACCGCAATGTACAATGCTACACTGGGCTGGATAAAGTACCTTGTTACTGGAAAAGCTACACTGTTAAGAACATAACTGAACTGCTATCACACTGCTGAAAAATGTAGTCAAGTTAGTAGTGTCACTACTCGAAGTTAATTACCTCCCAACACTGCTGTAAAATTCTCTTTTGAAGTACCATTTAACTGAAATCCATTGTTTTTAACTTTCAGGACACAAGAAAACTCGAATCAGAGTGGTTTGGCTCTTGGCTTAATTAGCAGGGTCATTGCCGCCTGCACCTCCACTGAAACTCTGTCACTCGATGCAGCTAAAAAGGGAAGACGAGGACAACATCCACAGCACACCGGAGGAGGGTCAAAAGCACCGGTGCCTCCATCTGTGCACTGGATCCAATTTAAAGCAAATCTACGGCAGCGGTTCTGCTCTCTTATTGGGTTCTCCTGCTAGTGCGGAGGGCAGGGCTCCAGCAGACAGCAGCTTGTGTTTATAGCGGAGGACACATAGGGGGACCCGATACAGTCCCTGTGCTGGAGTGGCATCTGGGTAGGAGCCGTTTACGGCAACGTTACAAGGCTACGATATTGCAGTATGGGGCTGCGGAAGGCAATGGTACACTGCTTGTTATTTTTCAGTTACGACTCTATGAAGTCGGGACATTACAGAGCTCCCATTCAAAGATGAGGAGGTAGCTTGGGTTTATTACTTCTTTCTTAACAGGAGAGCTTATAGCGAGGGAGATTAATACAAACAGACACACAGCACAGCGGTAACGCACCAATGAGGCCCTTTTCATCTGTCAAAAAATACACATGTAATTACAATTAGCATTAGCGTCTCCATTATTATTACAGACTCTGCCCTCACTTTCCCTGTCAGAGAATCTCAGTTTGAACTCTAAGCATTTCCAGCATATGCTACTGTGCTCAACTTTAAAATAATAACTTTCAGACAAAACACTCTGATTAATAGCTCTGCATCATCTTGTGGAAAATTACGGTTAAAATAATCTTTTGGCAAATGCTTTAATTCAACTTACAATGTATGTGAGGTATATATTTTAACTGTCACCTGTGAACTGAACCTATGCTAACTAGCCAAACTTTGACCCCATGATTTCGAACTGAAAAGTTGTTCTGTGTTTCGTCTAAAGACTGGTTGAAAACTGTTTGAGAATAATAACAATCATTCTATATATAATCCAAATTTTTAACAGTAAAAATGAAAATGATTGTGTAAATCTGCATATACCCTACCATTCAAAAGCCTGAGGTCTGTAAGATTTTTAAAAAGTCTCTTATTC